TGCCAAGAACCTACAACCAAGATTACTTTATCCAGCAAAGCTATCATTCAGAAGTGAAGGTCAGATAAAGAGCTTCACAGATAAGGAAAAGCTAAAGGAGTTCATCACCACCAAACCAGGATTATATGAAATGCTGAAAGGTATCCTATAAGAAGAGGAAGAGGAAGAAAAAGGTAAAGATACAAATTATGAACAACAAATATGCATCTATCAACAAGTGAATCTAAGAATCAAGTGAATAAATAATCTGATGAACAGAATGTACTGGTGATTATAATAGAATCAGGGACATAGAAAGGGAATGGACTGACTATTCTTGTGGGGGGAAGGGGTGTGGGAGATGCGGGAAGATACTGGACAAAAATCGTGCACCTATGGATGAGGACAGTGGGTGGGGAGTGAGGGCAGGGGGGGGGTGGGAACTGGGAGGAGGGGAATTATGGGGGGAAAAAGAGGAACAAATGTAATAATCTGAACAATAAAGATTTAATTAAAAAAAAAAAAGTAGAGAAATTCTATTCAGGATATTAAATTTAAAAGATCTCTTGTCAGCTTTTGATTTGCAAGAAAACTAGTCAACTACATAGGACTCACTCTCTCAGGTCTGCTCTCTCGGCCAGGGGGTTTCAAAATATCATCCACATTCTTAGATTCAGGCTTCTTCTCTACCCGTGGAGCTGGAGGTGGCTGGTGGCTTAGTGAAGGAGCTGGCAGTGGCATTCGCTCCTCTGGGTAAGTTCTTCGTTCTCCTAGAATTTCAGCAGTTGAACAAAATTACTACTTGTGTAGTAATTCTTTAAAATTTTAACTCTTTCCACTCATCCTAAGGTAATATAATTCATAATGATCTGGGAGCCAAAGCCACCTTTAACCTTAATTAGAAAATTTTTAAGTAATGAAAATCAAGAAAATGAAAAGATTTAGGTATGATTTCAGGCAAATGAATGTTTTGAGAAATACTCAATTCATCCTTATTTGTATGAAATTTAGGAAAAAAGTTAAGCAACAGGACATAAAAGAATAATATATACTTACTGGATGGTTCCAAGTATGACTTTAGAGTTTGTCTGTAACTTCTGCTTTACAGTTTTAAGAACAAGAGTCACCAGCTTAGAAAAGTTTGTTCTTATAAATAGGTATACATTTCTAGTTTAAGTGGAATTTATAGCAGTGAAAAAATAAAAGCAACCTAAATGTCTAACAATAAGTCTTATATTTTATCCACTCAGTAGAATGTCAAGAGCCATTATATAACAGATTTATATGTGGAAAAAAAGTATAAAATGATCAATAGGAATAAGCACAATAAAGAAACTGTATATTTTGATTATAACTTCATTAATATGTATGTGAAGAAAGAATGAGAGGAAAACATACAAAATTATAATAGCTGTGATTTGATGGGTGGTGGAATTATAAAGGATTTTGTTTCTATTTTCCAAACTTTTAATAATATAAAACAAGCAATTTGTTCTAATTACATTGCTATTTTTATGATAATGCTGCCATGCCTTAGAAACCTGAGTGCATTTTACTCTGTAAATTTAAACTCATAGCTACAATGGTTGTTGGCATTCTCAACATCTTTATAGTTAATAAGGCACTGCTCTACCTCCAAACATGGATGGTCCCTCATAGGCTGGTCGGTCAGACTTTCGGTCATAGGATGGTCTATCAAATCCCCCTCTTCTGGATGAAGAATGGTCTTTTTTGTCTCGATATGACTGAGTCCTAGGAGGTATAACAGGAAGTGGTTTGGTAAGTAAAAAGTAATTGGAGATCTCTGTATCATAATGCAACATCACTACCTGCCCAATTTTCTCTAAATATAGTCAATATTTATATTTTTATTTTGCTTTTCCATTTTGATCTCCCTGCATAAACACATTTAAAGAGCTCACAAATTGCAAAATAAATTGTTTGTCTACTAATTAAGTAATGGCTACACCTTTATTGATAATACTATTTCCTTCCCTTTCTGGCTTTCTCCTTCACCCATTTCATTTTCTAGAATTTAAACTAGCAAAACTCAAGCATCTAGTTTCCTGAAAACTGGTCCAGAACTACTCTTTCCTCTCCAAATTATACATAAGAAAGAATATGAATTTACTAAATTTCCTTTAGACACACTGACTTTTGCTAAACTCAAGTACATGGTAAGTACCTGGCGAAGTTATTTTTCATAGCATACCTATCATCCCGAGGTCGGCGTTCTCTGTCAAATCTATCCCGGTCATAGTCAATAACACCACGATCCCGCTCTCGGTCTCTATGTGTCTCCCGATCCCTTTTGAAATCTCGATGATCTGCCATGACATTGCTCTGACGATCAAAATAAGGCTCACGGTCTCTGTCTCTATCATAACGATCACGTTGGCCTGCATGCTCTACAAAAATAATCAGTACAAAGTAAGAACAATACCCTTTTTTCTTAAAGGCAAAAAAGTACAAATCTAACTTTAGAACTAGTAGAAACTGTTGTCCTAATTTCAACTTATAAATCTTTTAACTATATTAAAAAGAGGCCCAAATAATCTTACCAAAGGGAAAAAACATGTGATAATTAGGTCCTAAAAGTTTTTTAAAAATACTGATCTCTCTAGGACTCCTACCTGTCTCAAAAGTTGATCTTTCCGGTAATGGATCTGGGCGCAGAGTTATTCTTTCTCCATAGGGTATCTGTTCAACTTTGTTAGTGGACATATCTGGTAAACAAAATCAGGGATAAAATACTATATGAGTGAAGCTTAAGAAAGGCAATGCTGAAGCTAATAATTCCTTTAGAATCCCAAATACAAACTTAACCACTATCACTCACCTCGGCCATGGCCATAGTCAACAGTCTGTTGTACTGGTGGTGGTTTGGACATTGGTGGCATACCCATAGGCATTGGGCCAGGAGGGGGAATGGAAGGGTGAACAGGTGGGGGTGGTAACAATGGAGCAGATGGAATAGTTACAGTTTCTGGTTTAAATTCTGAATTCAGTCCTTGTTCCTCATTTGTATCCCAGAGGCCATAGAAAGAATCTTCATCCCAGCGTTCCTGTTCTACCGCTGAAGTGTGTGGCTTTATCACTGGAGGAGGAGGTGGTGGAGGAGGAGGTGGTGGTAGTGGTGGTGGTATTGGGATAGGTGGCCTGGTCAAAGGAACAGATGATCTTACTGGTGGAGCAGAGGGTCTTATAATTGAACCTGGTGGTTTACCCATAGGAGGGGGTGGTCTATATGATCCTGGAGGCTGGAAAACAGAGTAAATAGCTTTAGTGGATGAGAATACTACCATGTTTTTGCACATCAGATTTGGTTTTCAATCCATAAAAGAAAAATTGAATAAGCTGCACTCATTTAAAATTTAAAACTTTTATGCTTTAAAATACACCATTAGGGAGAAAAAAAACAATTGGCCCTTGAGGAACACAGGTGTGAACTGTGTGGATCCACTTATGCACAAATTTCCCCCCCCAATAAATATCTACACTGTTTTATTTATTTATTTATTTATTGTTTAAGGTATTACAAATAATAGTACATGTCTCCTTTTTTCCCTCCCATTGACCTCCCCCCGACCTCTCCTACCCGCCGGCACTTGCCCTCATCACCCTCCTCTCCCCAGTATCTTGCGTCTATTGGTTGTGCTTATATGCATGCATACAAGTCCTTCGGTTGATCCCTTACTCCACCCCCCACCCTTCCCCTGCCTTCCCCTAGTAGTTTGACAGTCTGTTCGATGCTTCTTTGCCTCTGTTTTTGTTCAACAGTTTATAATGTTCTTTATATTCCATAAATGAGTGAGATCATGATTTATCTTTCACTGATTGGTTTATTTCACTTATAATAATGCTCTCCAGTTCCATCCATGCTGTTGCAAATGGTAAGAATTCCTTTTTTACAGCAGCGTAGTATTCCATTGTGTAGATGTACCACGGTTTTCTAATCCATTCATATGCAGATGGACATTAGGATGTTTCCAAATCTTAGCTATTGTAAATTGTGCTGCTATGAACATAGGCATGCACATATCCTTTCTGATTATTTTTTTGATTGGATTGTTTATCTTCCCCTTTATTAAGTTGTATGAGTTCCGTGTAAATTTTGGAGACTAACCCCTTTTTGGAGATAACATTGGCAAATATGATCTCCCATGCAGTGGGCTTTCTTGTTGTTTTGTTGATGTTTCTTTAGCTGTACAGAAGCTTTTTATTTTGAATCCCATTTGTTTATTTTCTCTTTAGTTTCCACTGCCCTAGGAGCTGTATCGGTGAAAATACTGCTACGACAAATGTCTGCTATTTTGCTGCCTATGGCTTCTTCTAAGATTTTTATGTTTAAATCCTTTATCCATTTCGAGTTTGTTTTTGTGTGTGGTGTAAGTTGGTGGTCTAGTTTCATTTTTTTTGCAAGTATCTGTCCAGTTTTCCTCTACACTGTTTTTGATTTGCGTGGCTAGGAGTCCACAGGTTGTATGTGTGTGTGCACGCACTAATACATGCCATTTAATATAGGGGACTTGAGTATCTGCAGATTTTAGTATCAACAGGGCGGGCGGGGGTGTCCTGGAACCAATCCTCCCAAGCCCTTGAAGATACCAAAAGACAACTTAAGTTTTTGGGGATTTAAAAGTTATATTCAAATTTTCAACTGCAAGAGGGGAGGTGTGTGTGTGTGTGTGTGTGTGGTGTCCCTAACCTCCATGCAGTTCAATGGTCAATTGCATATGCAAATCATATATCTGATAAAGGACTTGTATTCAGAATATAAAAACTCCTTAGTAAGACAAATAATTTTAAAAATGGAAAAATATTAAATAGATATTTCCCCAAAGAAAATATATGAATGGCCTATAAACACATTCAAAGATACTCAATATTATTATTCATTAGGGAAATGCAAATTTAAGTCACAATGAGATACTATTTCATACCCAGTAGAATGGCTATAATTGATAACAAAGATAATAACAACAAATGATGGCAAGGATGTAGAAAATAAGAATCCTCTTAGATAGCTATTGGGAATGTAACAGGGTGCAGCCACTTTGGAAAATGTTTTAACAGCTTCTCAAAAAGTTAAACATAAATATACCATAAACTCAGCAATTTCATTCCTAGGTATCTATCCAAGAAAAACATGTCCACCCAAAGACCTGCATACAAATATTCATAGGATTATTCAATAACCCAAATGTCTATCAACTAGTGAATGGATAAACACAACATGGTATATCCACACTATATAGTATTACTTGGTAATAAAAAAAAGTACTGATTTATGCTACAACATGTATGAATTTTAAAAACATTAGCTAACAAGCCAGTTACAAAAGATTGAGTCTGGTCAAGGGAATGTACCTGGTTGCAGGCTCAATCCCCAATGTGGGAAGCAACCGATTGATGTATCTCTCTCAAATTGATGTTTCTTTGTGTCTCTCCCTCTCCCTTCCACTCTCTAAAAATCCATGAAAAAATATATTCGGGTGAGGATTAACAACAACAAAAAAAAAAAAGAAAAAGAAAATGCCTATGTAGGACAAAGCTATTATGTCTGTAGTACAGCTATCCAGACATGTTTTAAATATGTTAGGAACTTCTGGGACCATTGTCTACAAATGAAACAAAAAGTGGGTGTTTTTTTTCATACTATATAGTGAAAGCACTAGATATATTTATAGAAAACAAAACACCCTTATAGCTTTTATATGAAAAAGAATTAATATCTATATTATATTAAGGATGATATAAATTGGTAAGAAAGCCTTAAGAATCAAACAGGTGAATTGGTAAGGAGCAAAAGTAGAACGTTTACAAGAAGAAATATAATCAACAAATATGAAAAAATATTTGTTCACTAATTATCAAAATGCATATTAAAATATTTTATTAAAACTATTATATCTACCAAGTACATTAAATAAGTGATGCTTGCAAGGCTACAGTACAGATGTCATACAGCTATTTTAGAGAGCCACTGTCTATATTACAAGAATCATTAAAAATGTCCTTGCCCTACCCAGTTTGGCTCAGTGGACAGAGCAGCGGCCAATGGACTGAGGGTCCTGCGTTTGATTCAGGTCAAGGGCACATACCTTAGTTGCAGTCTCAATCCCTGGCCTTGGTCAGGGTGCATGTGGGAAGCAACCAATCGATGTCTCTCTCTCACATTGATGTTTCTCTCTCTCTCCACCTCCCTTACACTCCTCTCTAAAAATCAACGAAAAAATATCCTCAGGTGAAGATCAACAACAACAACAACAAAATACAATAAAAATGTCCTTCTTCCAGCCCAGTCAGTGTGGTTCAGTGGTTGAGCATCAACCCATGAATCAAGAGGTCCCCGGTTTGATTCCTGGTAAGGGCACATACTGGGATTACGGGCTCAATCCCCAGTAGGGGGTGTGCAGGAGGCAGCCGATCAATGTCTCTCTCGTTCACTGATATTTCTATCTCTCTATCCCTCTCCCTGCCTCTCTCTCTAAAATCTATAAAAACATTTTTTTTTTTAAAAAGTCTTTATTCTTTAACTTAAGTATTCCACTCTGGGAGTTTAAAATACTTTTAAGAAGTTACCTAAAATAAGAACTTGATACAAAGACATTCATTAATGTATGCTTGGTTTACTTATCAAAAGACCATACTTTTAAGATTTTCAAAAGTCAATTACTATTAGCCTTTTACCTTCCCAAAAATTTACATTTATTTTTTTATATTATTTTTATTGATTTCAGAGAGGAAGGGAGAAGGGGAGAGGGAGGGGGGGAGAGAGAGAGAGAGAGAGAGAGAGAGAAACATCAATGATGAGAGAGAATAATTGATGGCTGCCTCCTGCATGCCCCCTACTGGGGATAGAGCCTGAAAACCAGGCATAACCCCTAACAGGGAATCAAACCATGACCTCCTGATTCATAGATCGATGCTCAACCACTGGGCCACACAGGCTGAACAAAATTTATTTATTTTTTACTTTTTTTTAGAAGCACAGTTGATATGACTATCAAATTTTATTTTTAAACATATTTTTATTGATTTCAGAGAGAAAGGAAGAGGGAGAGATAGAAACATCCATGATGAGAGAGAATCAAAGAGAATCATGGATCAGCTGTCTCCTGCAAGTCCCCGACTGATGATCGAGCCCACAACTTGGGCATGTGCCCTTGACTGGAATCGAACCTGGGACCCTTCAGTTCGCAGGCTGACACTCTATCCACTGAGCCAAATCCACCAGGGCAAAATTTCTATTTTCTATAGAAAAAATTTATACTTGCTTCATATATCAAAAGATTAAAGGACAGACAAACATACAAAGTAGGAACCACTGCATTTTCCGAGCACACATTTTCCCATACCAGATACATTCCAGGTCTTGAAGGTGTATTCTGCAATCTCGAATCCTGGGGTGGTAGGTGGTCAGGCATCTGTGGCTCAGACCCAAAGTCTTTCATCTTTTGAAGCTGTTCTTTCTGCTCCCTGTAAACAAATAAAATTGCCATTGTACATAAGGCATGTCTACTCCATTCCTAAGTGATTACAATTAATATAGAAGAACAAAGAGACCTAAGAATCTTGTTCTAAAACCCTCTACAGTGCTCACAGAGCACCTCCAGGGTAACACCACTCTCTTGCCTTGATGTAGCTAACTGATCAGACATCTATGACCTATAAATAATTATAAATTATTGAAGATCTTCAAGGACAGGTGCTACAACCTGCACCTCATTAGTCTATTCTAATATTTCATTTACTTGTCATGTTTTTCTTTCATCCAATCAGAAGCTCTCTGCCATTTTTTGTTGTTCAATATTCTTTATTTAGACCAGAGGTTGCAAAATGGTGGCCCATGGACCAAATATGGGCTGGGAAGGTTTTTTTGAATTTGGTGTTCACATGTTTTCTAAATCTGAATTAGTTGCCCTTATTTACAAAGCAAAATATTTCATATAGAAATTCAAATGTTAAAGAGATTTGGTAACAATGGGCCTACATTCCCCACATGCCAACAATTAGCTGAGTGGAGTAGTGGCTGCCCACTTTAGACAAAGGCCTTTTGCCACTTTCACTCACTTTTGTTACCTGTCAGCTTCTTGTGGATATTTTAGTTAATTGCCTCTGCTGTATATGGTGAGAACAATGGTCAGTCTACACCTTTGAAAACAACACTTTATATTCCTAAAGAGTAATTATGTAACTTCAAGTTTTTCTTTAAATGTCTGGTCAAATTCCTTTTCCTTTTCCTTACAATGACCACCTTAAACACATGCAACCTCTCCCCACCTTTTACAATATTCTCCCTGCATTTGTAAAGTGTAGTGATCCAAATTGATACAAAATAAGGGTCAAGTATATAAAAATATTATTTTATGCCTTGTGTAAATCATGACTTTATACCAACACAACGTAGCTTATTTGTATTCAACTATGACCACTTTTATTCATCATTTCATATGTTTCGTTTAATTATGTTTTTGTTGCCTAGAAAGAGCTTTAAAAAAAGAATGATGAAGAAGCACTTTTTATCCAGCGTTTCTTTGCAAAGCGATAATGGAAGGAAACGGAAACTTTTAAAAGAAAAGGAAAGAAACTTTGGCAGATTAGCAACACCAATCAGCTTGGTGTTTTCAAAAAACAAAACAGATTTTAGAGTTGGACAGACTATGCTCCAATTCTGGATCTGCCACTTTTTAGCCAAGTGGACTTAAACTCTCTGAGCCTCAGTGTCATTTATGAAGTGGGAATAATACTACTTATTCTTTACAGGCCATTGAGATATAAGGATTTGAGATAGGAGGATTGAGATAATATATGCTAAATTACTAGCACAGTAACTAGCACACAAGATTGTTAAATTAAAGTTGTCTATAATTTAAAAGTGAGTTGTATAGTAGCTAAATATTCTAGGGTATGCTTTCCACACTATTAATAATCTGGAAAAGTTAAACCTCATAGAAAGCTTTTGTTATAATTTCAATTGGTGTAAACCACAAATATAGACCAGAATTGAATAATGAAAGAAACATAATACGTTGGAATATATCAAAAACTAACCATTAATTTATTTTCTCAAAACACAGCTAATTCCCAAGAAACTACTCAAAAACTTACAATCTGCCAATGACGCCTAAATTCTTATCTTAGCATACAGTTGGTTTAAGAATGAAACAATTTATACAAAGCTACAAAGCACACAGTTCCTGGCACATCATAAGCATACAATAAATGCTAGCTTTTGCTACTACATGGGAAGCATTATGTAGATACCTATACATACATAGTAGGTTGACTGTAAGTTAAGAAATCCAAATTCTATTCTCCATCTCACAAAGAAAATACTTGATTATGTATAAATAACATCATCAAGTAGAGATATCAGCTTCTAATTATAAGGAAAGATAAAACATCCCCAAAAGAAAGTATCAATGGTTAGACAAATCTGAGGATGCTTCCAGGTAAGTCATTCTTAGCTTCAACAGAGACCAATATGAGTCCTTACAGCATTTTCCAAAGTTATGTCAAAGATTAATGAATATGAAGTCTATCAGATCTAATACAGAAGAACAAACTGCCTCCTGGGGAAAAACAGGATGTTACATATGAGCTCTGAAATCCAGAGCACTAGAAAGTTGAAGTTTGACACTTGAAACATGCACAGGCATGGCATGTCAGCAACACATCTATAAAAGCCAAGAATGGCCATCAAATTTTCACATTTCAGAACGTAAGTTTATAATTAACACAGTTCCTAAATACCCATCCTAACCCTAAAACAGCACGGAATGACCCAGAGATATAATTATAATTATGTGATAAGAACTTGAAGTAAAATTAATTCCATTCAAATACATCACATTTTTAAAAAGCAGTCTGAATGTGGCTTTGACTAAAAGAAATGATCTTAAGTAGTCAACTTACCGAAGCATTTTCAGTTCTTGTGCAGCTTTCAAAATGATTTCGTGCTGCCTCTGACTGAGAACCATTACCCCTCCAAGGCCTTGGTCAGAGTCTAAATTTGCATCCGACCCCATCATTTCAGAATGATGTGAGGAGGGCATGTGTTCCGCAATGGGGGAATGTCTATCCACATCAGATGGGTACCATCTGTCTGATAACCGTTCTCTTTCCCAGTCCATTCTGTCAGGAATATAATCTCGCTTTTCCCGCCACGTATCTCCTCTTTCTGGATACTCTCGGATCCTCAACTCACCCCTATCACGGAAATCTCGATCATACCCATGGTCTCGATTTCTTTCTTCTCTCCATCTATCATCCCGATATCTATCCAAAGGTGGAAGAGGTGGGAGGGGTGGTAAAGGTGGAAGAGATGGAATATCCCGTTCACGGAACTGTGATTCTTGTTCATCCAGTGGTCTCCCATAATCTCTGTCCCACTCATTATCCAAATTTCTATCATACATATCCATGGGTCTTCCAATCCGATCCACATCCCTGTCCATTTCCCTGTTGTAGTCCTCATCCATATCCTGATCTCTCTCCCAATCATCCCACCAAGGGCCTCGTCTATCTCCATCATGCGATCGAGATGGTGGTGCTGAGAACCTGTCCTCTCGGTTATATGGATCTAGTGTATCATCTCGATAGTCACGTTCACTTTCTCTCCAGTATCTCTCTCTATCCCAATCATCAAGTCTTTCTCGTTCCATTGGAGCATTTCTACCATCTAGTGGGAACTCTTCATGCCCTCTCTCTTCTCCATGGTTCCATGGAGCCCTAGGAGGCTCATCTCGGTGATATGGATACATTTTTTCCCCACCATCTCCTGGTTCTGGTCTAAATGGACCTCTGTCACGAACAAAATCTGGTCTTCCCAGTCCCCTTTCCCGACTGCCAGGCCCTCGAGGTGGGGGACCCCTCTCTCTGCTCCCAGCTCTTCGAGGTGGTACTCTCTCTCTACTCCCAGCCGTTCGAGGGGGTCCTCTCTCCTGACTTCCAGCCCTCCGAGGTGGTCCCCTTTCTCGGCTGCCAGCTCTACCCTTGTCCTGGCTGCCTTGCAGACCACCTGGCACTTTCTCCCGACTGCTTCCTGGTCTCACCAACCCTCTGTCCCGACTGCCTTCTCCTCTGTTCATCTTCTCTCGACTGTCTTCTCTTTTACCCATCACCTTATCGTGAAAGTCTTCTTGCTTGACCAACCCTGGGTCACAGCTGATTACCTGGCCTCGACCTCTATTTACTAGTTCTTTATCCTGTGTGTCTTCCATTCTGCTTTGCCCAGGACCTCTGTAAGATGAGCTGCTGCCTTGATTGTTTTCTAACCTATTATCTCTACTATCTGGCCGAGGCAGCCCTTTATCTTGGTTATTTTCTGAATGGGGCAGACCAATACCTAAAGGTTTAAAATCATTATCTGTGTTTAATGATGATGATGTTGCTACTATTGCTCCTCCCTCCATCCCCCCTGTTTCTGAGGGAAAAGTAGATTGAGTAGGTACAGGTTTATTTGCAAGGGATACAGGCTGAGTAACAGCTTGGGTTTTGTCCATTTGAGTCTCCATACTCTGAGAATTCTGGTCCCATTTAGAAGGCTCTATGGGCACTTCCGAGACTTCGCTTTTAGGTGGCTCTTGTTGAGAGTCGCTTAGATTCTCATTTGCCTGAGCCGCCTTGGCATCCTTTACATCTGCACCAATGGGTAATGCAGCTGATTGCATGTTTAAATTCTTCTGCTGGTTACTATTGGTGTCTGCTAATGGTTCTTTGTTTCCTGAAAGAGGTTCTGCTTGTGACTTAGGTTGCTGCTGTTGTTGCTGTCCCAAAGCTGGTTTGGGGCCTTTCCATTGTGGTCCACTCTGTCGAGGACTTAGGGATGTATTGGGGGTAATATAAAACTGAGATGCTGGCCCCCGGGGAATCACTCCCCATTTGCTTTTAGTGCCCTCTGCTGGGTGACCTTCATATCTGGGTCTTGGCCCATCGGGGCGATTTCCTTCAAAACGAGGCCCTTTGGGTCTCGGTCCTTCACACCTTGACCCTAAATCCTCAAATCTTCGAGGACCATCAAATCTACAAGTAAAACAAAAGATATTACTCAAGACAGTAAAGCAGAAAAAAAATTCTCCATGTAAGAATATTTAAGGCAATCTTGCCTTGGAATTTGTTTACAACAATGACTCTTTCAGTCATTAAACAAATCCTGAGATATCTGTATCTTAGAACCAGCATGCTAAAGTGGCAGTACTCTGAAAGCCTTAGGACAGGCTTTGGAAATCATATCAGTTTTATCTAATTCACTTCAATACAACTTCTGCAGCAAGTCACTGATGTACTGAACCGTTAAAAAAAAACAACACAATTATAAACACTGTGCCTTAGTAGACAGAAAAGTCCACTAATTTTAATGGAAAAAAATAAATTCCAAGCTATCTTCAAGAGTACGTTTAGAATTAAAATATCACTTAAAAACTATGAAACAATCAACAAGATAATATAGGATGTTGATAAATATTCTTGGAGCTAGCATTATCACTTTAACTGATTGACAAAAGTTAAAAAAAACCAGCAGCCAGTCATATTTTCAGAGTGTGTCCTGACATTTTAAAGTCTGGACAGATGTTTTTGCTATGGACCCACTCACTGATTCAGTAAATATCTAGTGCACATTTTAATCCCCTATCAGGTACTACACTACATTCAAGGGCTATATGAATAAGTTGTCATCTGTGTCCCCAAAGGGTTTGCAATCCAGGAGAAATAGAATATAAATGTAAATATGTGCTTAAAAGTGCAATAACTAAAGTCTGCCTGAATATAAATATGGGCGGCAGAGAAAAGAATGATCAATTCTACCTGGGTAGTGGTGGGGTGCTGTTCAATAAATGCTTAAATTAAGTCTTGAAAGACAAATTCTCTCAGATCAGGCTAACAGAGTATGTTGGAATGAGAGGAGTGAGAGGCAATTGCATCTCAGGCTAAGGAAGTATTCTGAGGAAAGGCAGAGAAACAGATACCAGCATAGCATGTATGGAAATGCAAACAGTGTAGCATGGCTGAAGCAAAGAGGAGACAGAGTCAGGGAGTGCGGGGGAGAGAGGGGAAAGTGGGAAAGCATTGCACTAAGAGATAAGGTAAAAAGGCAGGCAAGAGTCAATGTCCAGAAGACCTTGACTACCTTTTATGGCAGACACTACTGGTGCTCCTCCAATATCCATTCCCCCTTTTCTACAATAACTGAGCTTCTCCACTTCTAGCTGGACACAAGGCCAGCCAAACTAAAGAGTCACTTTTCCAAACTCTCTTGCAGCTAGAACTTATAGTCATGTTCTGGGCAATGGGCTGAGAATGAAAATGATTTACACATCCTTCTGGATTGTATCCTTAAAGGGCACATCCTCCTCCTTCACCATTTCCCTTTTCATGCTAGCTCTGACACGGTAGTGAAATTATCTTGGCCCATGTAGTTGAGGACAACATAGTAAGGAATGTCTAAGTAACAAACCAGAAGGAACCTGGATTCCTGATACTGTAGAGCCATCACCTAAGTCCAGAGAGAGAAAAAAACTTCTAACTTGTTGAAGCCATGTGACTTTGGATTTCTGTTACAACAGATGAATTAATTTGGCCGGTAAGAATTGGGAATTGCCTAATAAGCACTTAGAGCCACTAAATATGGTCTGATTTTTAAAAAAATATATTTTTATTGATTTCAGAGAGGAAGGAGGAAGGATAGAAAGACAGAAACATCAATGATGAAAGAGAATCATCGATAAGCCGCCTCCTGCACGCCCCCCACTGGGGATCGAACCCACAACCCAGGCATGTGCCCTTGGCCGGAATCGAACCTAGGACCCCTCAGTCCACAGGCCGATGCTCCATCCACCGAGCCAAACCATCCAGGGCTGGTCTGATATTTTTTGAAAAGATTGCTCTACCAGAAAAGTTGCAGATGAATAGGTGGGAAAAGCCTATTGTAGATTGTTTCTACAATTTGGAAAAGTGAAGGTGAAGCCTTCTGTTCTAAGGTGATGACTGACATGAGAACAAAGAGAAGGAGATACAAGTGAGAGATGTGAAGGAAGTTACAACATATAAGATTGAAAAAAAGATTTTATTTGAGCCAAATTGATGACAATTGTCAGGAAGCAAGATCTCAAATGCTCCCTAAAACAGATAGAACTTTCTAATAGGTGGGATTTAAATGATAACAGAAAGGGAAGAATTTAGAATGATTCCAAAGTTTCTGGCTTATGTGACTGAGTGGATAGTGATGCCTTTTATGAGAAGTAGGTTTTTCTTTCATTTATTTGGGAAATC